ATGGACACATTCTGTCGAGTCTTTGAATGGCTCACAACTCCTGGGGGCATTTATCAAAGGTCATAACGGACTAAACTGTAGACTCATATGCCCTGCGTGGAGCGTAAAGCTCGACTTACGGTGTTGCGGTTGACAGCGGCGGCGGAATAGAGTTTTTGTCGGCTCTGTGACGTGACATCGTTTTTGTACCGCCGGGGGACGCCGTGGTGTGTGAACCGGTCACGTTTGACCTCCCTTCCCTGCTGACACCACAAAGTGACGCCGACGGCACCGGTGACACTGCAGTGGTAGCAGAGACACGTATTGGGCCATGACGTGTCCTTCCAACTTCCAAGTCAATGAATCATCATTGTGTAACGACTGCCCATCGAAACCGATCGTCAATGGTAGCCGCTGACTGAAACTACATATTTGAGATTTACTGAAACAAAAGTCACCGTACATAGCGCTCCAACCAAACGTTTGTCAGGATTATCTGACAACATTTGTGACGTATTGATGTTTCGCCAATAGACAAACGTTCTCAAGTATCGACACAGGAGGCTAAATATGAATCATGACCTTAAATACAGCCCACCGCTGTGTCCCCATTCGGTAGTGCGAATATCGATTGTTCGTTCACCGCCCTGCGTAAGGTCTCCCCGATGAAGACAAATGGCGGACGTTTACCGTCACATCGACGGCCTAATTGCGGCTGCATCGGTGTCCGCACCGTAACGGTCGGCCGTATCGACCGCGGCGGCCCACCAGGGACAGCCGATGACGCCCCGCCGCCGCCCCCGCCCCGGGCGGGCAGCTCGGCGCGGCGGCCGGTCCTGTCTCCATGGTGCTGGGGGTCAACAGGCCGGCCGAGTGGCTGGGAGTGGGAGCTAGACACCATCCAGTGGCCAGTCGTGGGAGCTGTGGGGCGCAGAGGTCACTGCCGAGGACAGACGGCGCTGTGAGTTGACATCTGACACTGGCCGGTACTGACCCTGACTTGTGCTGAGTTCTGCAACCTTGACTCGTGCTGCATGACGTGTTATACCTTGACCTCTGGCCTTGACCCGTTGTGACCTCTGACCTGACCTGCAATAGCCTCTGTTCCTACTGGTCAATACCGATGATGACAGACTCTGACTTATGACCTCTGACATGTCTGGTGATGACCTCTGACCTCACATGGTACTGCTCTATGACCCATACTCATGACCTCTGACCCGCCGGCGGTGGTCTGTGCTCTGTGGTCGCCGCTGCTGGGTGATAGGTATGTTTGCGTGTTTGCGGGGGGCCGGGACGGTGGGCTGTTTAGTCTGTGGCTGTGTGTTGGTCCTAGACCGTGTGTCGGTTCGTGTCTGCGGGTGCGTGCGTCCATCGGCGGGCCGGCGGGACACCTGTGTCCGTCACGCGTCCCATCAGCCGTCGGCACTGTGTCGTGTCGTCTCTGACGCACCGTCACCCCACGGCGATAAGACCTGTCTGTATGCAGGGCACACAGGTGTGCGGAGCAGGGGCGTGGTGGCCCCAGCCCCCGTTATCAGAGGCGTCGCCAGTTCAGGTGATAGGGGCATGCTTTGTCGTTACAAGCCAACATGGAATTTGCCTTGCTTTTTCCTGTCGACGTTCCATCAATGACTGGTCATTGGACGCATTTTCTCATATTTTTCCTGGAGATTGATATAGCTGTTTTCAATAGAAGACGCGTGACGTTCGCTCTGAATCACACGCAACTTCAAGACAGTTCGCTCTGAATCAGCCGGCCTCGCGTGCCGCCAGCTCCGCGGCTGCGTGCGGTGCAACAGCTCGAGTGGCTGAAGCCTGGTAGTTAGGTAGCTAGCGGTGGGAAAAGACAGGTGTTGGTGGCTGACAGCTCTCTCTGCAGACCGACCAGTCGGCTCCCAGTCCGCCGCGTCTCGGGCGGCTCACTAGTCACTAACCCACAGGACGGCGTGGGAACGCCTACAGACAACGATCGTATCGACATGTCGAACGTTGTGTTAGAGAGCCAGCTGTCTTGTTTGTACTTTGATGAGCCTGGGATCCCCGGAATTACTATTGTTTTTATCTCGTTTTTGGTGTCGCTCCAATAACTAACTATCTCTTTATTATGGCATTGCAACGCCGTTGAGGGAAACGGTTCATGTCGTCTGTCTAAGTGCATCCACTGCATGCACCTATTGAGGTAGGCGGACACACCAACGCCCCGACGACACCCTCCCATTCAGCGCGAGCCACGCAGTCCGGCAGATTGTATCAATAGGACGACACGCGACGCACGCAGCCGCCACGCACGCGGCACGCAACAAACACTGATCAGCGCCCGCGGCCAATGGCTTATTGCACGCGGGCATGGTGACGTGCAGGCCAAGGCACGCCGCTTACAGCTCATTTCATATTCAGTGCACAGGCACTTCGGTGCATTTTCTTGTCGAGGTGCAAGTTCGACCCTATGTTTTGTGGAAGAATTACGTAGCGTATAAATAGTGCACAGGCGCTGGATGCTGCATTTTGCGGCGCGGCGCAGGCATGGAGATAGTCGCTGGCTCCCCTGCGCGCGCACTGACGGCCGCACGCACACGCGTACGCGTCCGTCGTGCCGGCGGTGGGCCGGGTCGATCGTCGGCGCCGTCGTGGTCGGCCCAATCGATGGTGGACGGCGGCCTTTCCGTGTTTCACCGGCGGCGCGCGCCCTCCGCTGTCGTGAGTGCCGGCTTTTTGTGACCGCTGCCGCCGGCGTCGGCTGTCGGGGCGACCGCCACGGTCGGCCGGTCGGGTCCACCGAGCACGGACACGGGCCTCGCCGCCGCACCGCCGCGGCTGCCGTGTCGCTTGTCCCACCGACTGTCCAAGGCTGTGGCTCGACGGGCCGTCTCATGGCGCTGACGGCTCCTGCGGCGCAGCGGGGCTGGTGGAGGTCTGCCGGCCCTGAGCGCGGCGGCGGAGCGGCGGCCGTCGGGCCTGTCCAGTCCGTCCGCTGCGGCCGGTGCGCCGTCCACCCGCTCCCATTGGCGCACCTCGCGCTGACTAGTGGTGCCAATTTCATGAAATTTCAATTCCAATTCCGATCCAATTCCAAGAAATTGCCAAGTAAATTTCCAATTTTGTCCAAAGCGGGGGCTATTCCAATTTTTAACGATTTTTGCATTTTTTGCGTAAATTTTAAGTGTTTAAAAGCGTTTTAAAGGCCTCCGTTTTAAAATTTTAAATTTTAAAGGCCTTGTGTTCCGATTAATTTCCAAAAAAATGTTAAGAATTCCGTCCAAATTCCAAATTGGAATTGGACAAAAATTGGAATTCCAAGAAAAGAAATTCCGATTGGCACCAATAGCGCTGACCCAGTTCCACCGGGACGATCGTCGGTCGGCGGGAAGCGGCCGACGCGAGCTGACGAGCGCCGAGAGAGAGTGGGGAGGCCGGAGAGGGAACGAACGGACGAGAAAGCGTTCGTACGGCGAGATAGATACAATGCATCGGGTCTGGCAACGAACTTACTAGAAAAAGGTTATCTGGCTATGTCCCTCAAGGAAGAGAAGAATAATCGCCTCGTGGCTCGTGTCTGCAGCGGTCTGCATTTCCAGCGAGCGTGCCAGCCTGTCCGGTCCATCGTCCTTCACTGCACAATAACTTAGTCCCAACAGATACGATCGAGGATACGCTATACGCTAGCACGGGACGGCATGACCTCACACGGCATTCCATGCTGCCCTAACTAGAGGTGGAAATGAATATTAGTCATTAGTCAAAAATTAGTCGACTAACGTTAGTCAAGCGCTTTTTTAGTCAGTCAAAAGTCAGTCAACCAAAATATTTGTTAGTCATTAGTCAGTCATTAGTCAATGATTTTGTTGCATATTAGTCGACTAATTTGTCGTAATTCGTGAGGTGACTTAGCCCGCGCTCCACTGGGGTCGCCCCCGAACGCGCCCGACTGGGGGGGGGGGGTAAATTTTACCCCTCCCCCTGTTATCTCCCGAACCAGGCGTCGTAACGGCCGACATATCTTGCGCCCGCTTCGCATTGCGTTGGCCATAAAATGATTAGGGATAAAATTTGGGATCGATTGGTGTTTTTTTCCGGTGTCGATCGGACGTCTAGAAGCGCTTTGATGCGTAACTTGTAAACGGCCACAGGCTGTACTTTTAACAGTAATCGTTTCAGCCAGGCATATAATGTCGTTGGCCCAGTGCCCACCATGGCCAACATCATTGGCGGATCCAGCCCGACGTTTTTTTTTTTTTTTGGGGGGGGGGGCAAATGGCCGAAATGACCCCTTTCTTTCCATGCGCCGCCATAGGCGTAATATTAAAACTCGGGTCTTTTTGGGGGGGGGGCAAACGGGCTTTGGGGGGGGGCAATGGTCCTAAATGTCCCCCCTGGATCCGCCAGTGGCCAACATCCCCAGCTGCTGATTGCACTGCTTTGTTCATTGCTGATTGCGTTCATTGTGGTCAAACATCACAGGTCACATGCTCTGAAATGCTGAATGGAACAAACATTAAAATAAAACATGGTGTTGGTCATCGTTTATATTTCTTAGCGTATCGGCAGATTTTTATTTACGCAGTGCTAGCAAATTCCGAAATTTAGTCAAATATTAGTCAAAATCAAGAAAAGTAGCGTTAGTCATTCAATAGTCAGTCAAGCTTTTTGAGACGAAAATTTAGTCAATCAAAAGTCAGTCAACCAAAATTGTCATTAGTCATTAGTCAGTCATTAGTCAAGATTTTGGAAAACGTTAGTCATTTCCACCTCTAGCCCTAACACGAAACTGATCAGACTTGCTGCGTTATGTGCGCCTGTTATATTCACAGCGTTAATTCAGTGTTATAACTTTAACTAGACTTAAGTTGATATGCACCATTCGCCATTCATTTTATACGGCGTCTCACTTCCGGATACCTATATCTTTCGTTCTCAAACAGTTTACTCTCGATGAAATAGCCGACCCCACATTTCAGCTGCGTGTGTATAACTGTATACACCCGCGAACGTCTGTTTAACCTCGGTCCCATCTGTTTCAGCCGCCCGAGAATGACCTGATGAGGGGCGAACGGCAGCTGAGCGAGCACGAGCTGCGCTTCCAGCGCTCGCTGCGCAACCTCAACACGCCCGAGTGGTACAAAAAGTCCAGCGCCAAGCCGGAGACTACACTCCGGAGGGACTATGGCTCCGGATCGCTGGCAGGTGAGTGCAAACGGACTCAAACGGTGGACGGTGGACGCCGGTGGACTCGGTCGGATGGGGACAGGATGCCCTGTGTAACTACTGTTAGGTCCGAAATTGGCTTAGTTCATCAAAATTTCTCTCACTGAAATGGCCAGTTAGCTCTGCCAACTGATGGGACCAGCATCTTAGTGGGAGGTAGATTACGGTTAATTAGATAACGTACCATAATCAGCTTGACTTCACTTGTTCTCGTTTCATTCCATATCCAATCACCGCTCGACACTTTCACCATAAAGCTACCGTAACATCAGTCTCCAGCCCCCACGCTCGACCCCTACCACTGTCCCCTGCACATTGTTCATAACCAGGTCGAGTCATCCTACTGCACTGGTACAGTTCTCGACTCATCTGACTCATCCCGGCAGATGACTCGGATGACTCAGTGTCGTGCAGCACAATTATCACTGACTCCGCAGTACGGATGTATTTCGGGACGCTGTTGGCAACGCTCCCCGGTTGATGTTTGCTGAACAAGTAAATCTGAGACGGCTGTCCGATTCAGAGCGCTCCGAGACTCAGAGGCCCCCTCTCCCTCGCCGTACGAGGTCTATTGGATTGGACTGTTACGGTACCCCTGCTTAGGTCACATGTGGAGATTGCACGCCGTGCAGCATACAGGAATGTTTTCATTTCGGATTTCTGACGGTGGACCCAGCAGGAGAGGGGAGACCACCAAAAGTCTTGCAACTCTTATTACATCGCGCTCACCGTTCCGCGATAGGTGGTCACTGGTCAGGACGGTGCAGTGATGCAGTGGTGCAGTTAAGCACAGTGACAGGACAGTCAGCATTTTGAGTAATTACGGCCTTGGCTATTACACAGTAGATAAGATACCCTGGAGATATTGCACAGTATATTACGACTTCACTCGGGAACGTCGCATAAAAGGGATAAACGACCTATTTTTATCCAACCATTTAGGGGAAAATTAAAGGGATTATATTGCCATAGATATCTTCGGAAATGCTTGCCGTCAACGATCGTTTAACCGATTAGTTCTGAATTAATGCTATGTTGAATCGATAATTATTTCGTTATTTTTTCCTTGCGGCTTTATTTTTGCTGTTCTGTGTAAAGTCTAGTGATTGAGTGCATCGTCGTGAAAATTTCATCATTTATCGTGCGCCGAGGCATCTCACATTCTTGATGATTTTCGTTGGCGTCTGCCGAACACGTGATAGATTCTGTTTGGATTAGGCAGACCCAGTTCCGCGCTTCATAGCGCCGCTGGCCTCCGGCTGTCGTTATGTGATGGACGCCTGTCTCGTTGAAGTGGAGCCCGGCTGGTTTTGGCACCTCTCATGTGTGCGTCATCGCTGACCGGCGCCCCTCCCATGTGTCCACAGGCGGCTGGTCGGGCTTCAACTCCAAGTCGACCTCCAAGGAGAGCCTGCAGTCGAGTCGGTGCACCACACCCACCACCCAGTCCAAGGTGGTGATCCCCAGCCGGGTGCGTCCGCCCGACTGGCGCTATGTGCGCGGCACCTCCCGGGAGAGCCTCACCAGTCCGGGCTCGGGCGCCGCCTCGCCGGCCGCTAGTGACCGCGGCCCTGGCCTCTACTTTGGCGGTGTGGGGCGGGCCTCCCAGCCGAGCAGTGGCACCCAGAGCCCGGTGGGCAGCGGCACCGGCAGTCTGGGAGGCCACGGACGGCGTCCCGTCTACATGGGCTGGCGGAGTCAGGAGCGGCTCGGCCAGGGCTACCAGACGCCCGTCGACCGGCTGGCCAGCAGTTTCTCCCGCGGCCGCAGCGAGGGGAACCTGACCAGCGGCGGCGGCCGGCTGAGTCTGCCGCGCAGCTCGGGTGCCAGCTCGGCGGCCGGCAGCACCGGCTCGGTGAACGCGCTCCGTCCGCCGCCCGACCTGGACGTGCACAGCTCGATTCGCGAGGTGACCAGCGCCATAGTGCATTACTTTGACTCGACCGGCTCGGCGTCGGGCAGTGCCAGTGAGCTGGGCGGCCGGGCCGGCTCGCCGCGGCGGCGGCGCTCCCCGGCGCGCGGCTCCCGCTCCACGTCGCCGTCGCGGCGGCCCGTCTGGCTCGAGACGGCGTTCGTCGGCACCAAGCCGATGGATGAACCGCCCACGCCCGAGGCGGCCGGCGCCGTGCTCTCGGACCCGCTGGCCGCCGGCGGGGGCGGCAGCGGGGGCGGCGGGGGCGGCAGCGCGGCCTCCTCGCCGGCGACGGCGTCCGACTCGGCCCAGCCGCGGCCGGAGCCGCAGGGCGACCGGTACGAGCTCGGTGAGTTGCTGATGGTGTGAGTGTGACGCCCGCTGGTCGGGGTCAGAGGTCAGGTCAGGTCAGCCCACACAGACGGCTGATCAGAGGGCCACCGGGGCTCCATGAGTTCAATGTCGCTCGCTAGTGTCGCTGCTTGTATATATGCCTCCGATGGGCGAATGGCGGGGCATGTTTCTATCCGAGATCCGGTGTTTTGTCGCAGCGTTTGTGTTGCTTTCTGCGCCTGAAGGTGCCGTAATAATTGATTTTGATTTTTTTCACTCATTCCGTCTCAGTCTGAATATGGTTTTGTTTGGCATGTTTGTGATGCTTTTCTATGTGATTTTGTAACGCGCAACAGTCTTTTTTTCGTCTGCGATTTAGATCACGTATCACATATTGAGACTGCATAATTTCCAGGCCCTCAAGAGGAATACGTAACCTTTGTCCCATTGTGCACCTTTCCATCTGATTCAGGACCAAGTATTGTCACTCGTTTTTTTTTCTTTTCGTCGAATCGTGTCCTATTACATCTCGTTCTAGATCGCCCGCTTACCGAGGCGTTGCTGCATTTTAGCTGCATGGATGTTTGCTTGGCAGAGGAGCACTTGTGTTCGTGTTTCGGTTCTTACGTTTGGAATGCTTAATTACACGGATTTGCAGAATACTTTTTTATGTAATCGGTTGCTGAATAGATGTGCTATGTGAATGACGCTCATTGTAAAGAAACAAGCCGATCGTTTTGAACATCGGGCTTAATGTTGTTTTGTTTGCAGTGATCACCGTATCGTGCGATCTTTAGTCACGATTATGTTGTATATTTCATTATTTATCTACTTAATAAATTAGTAGAGGGAGTCGCGGCGTTTATTTTGTTTTGGTTCTCCGCACGTTATCTGCACCCTATAGACATCACGTTTTATTGCGTTACTTCTTTTTTGGCAGTACCTTCGTCACATCTTGACACACGTATCCGCCAAGCATAGTCAGCCCAGGTGAGCATTCCAAGCGCCTTTTTAACCCCTCGTTTGCTCGTTTGTACTCACACTACCAGCGCTAATTCGCCATTTAATCGTTCTTTTGATTTTGTTGAGACTACTGCTGACTAGTGCCGGGTTATTTACTAAACACCGGTAATGTGTTCATGGATTACTGATCCTCTTCATTATGCAGATTGCTTCGTGTCAGGTGTCGCATGTATGCATGCATGTGTACCGGGATGCCCCTCTCAGAACTCGCGCCTGATGCCAGTAATGTAAATGAGGTGTTTCACTACCAATATCCGCTTTAGGTGATGGCTCACCGCGTGTAGCGTAAATGCCTTGCACACCAAATTAGTAATAGTTACGCTTGCTGATGAACTGTAACCGAACTATTGGCTGGTGTGATGGTTCGCTTCACCTCGTGTTGAGTGAGAGATACTAGACGTTTGTCAGTTTTGCATTTTCCTCTCGACCTTAGTTGTGCGATGCGTCTGTTCATTCCGTTCAATTGACACGCAAGGCAGTAAAGTAAATGTAATTTAATTCGAATTCGCAGAATGCATAGCGTGCGTTTATGCTCACTGGGCTCGGTGGTAATTCAACTTGACATCTTCGTTTCCCATTCGCTCAACACCGCCAATACTCCCCTGCTCTCCTCTCTGCCACTCGCCGGCGTCTGACCGTGCCCCTGTGACCGGCAGGCTCGGGCCGGCCGGCTGCGCCCCTCCCGTGCCCTCCCGCCGCGCCGGCTGGTCGGCGGCGGGGCTCCTCCGTCACTGTGGAGGACGTCCTCGACTCCTTGCTGGCCCTGCCCGCCTCGGGCGGCAGCCAGCAGCAGCAGCCGCGCCGGCCCAGCTCCACCAGCAGTAAGGGCTCGCGGCGCGGCGCCTCGCCCAGCCGGGTGCTGTATGAGACCTCACTGGTCGGCACTCGGTACTACGAGCGGCCGCCGTCCGCCAGTGGTGAGTGTAGGGGCCGCAGGAGAGACCGGTCCGACCTGACCTGACCTGACCCGACCTGGAGGACCGCCGACCTGTCCTAGATCCGAGATGAATTTCACTCAGGGATTAACCCTGGGCTGGGCACCAGATGAACGTAAAACGTGAAATCGTTTGACCTATCCTCGGACTTCACCTGACCTCCGACCCAATCTGACCCTTTAGGACCTACGTGTCCTGCCTCGTGACCAAAACTACTATGTTCCAGTCCGGACAACCTTTATTGGTATTTAGAAAGTTGTGCAATGCATAGAGCTGGCGAATGACTTTTCATTGAATGGTTTTACTGTTATGCTATGCGAGCATGTATGTTGCTGCGGCTGCGAGTTTTCTGTTCCATGAAATATAGATGGCACGAACACTCCTTTTTACCCTTTTCTCTAAAGTGTTTCTTTTCATTGTTGATTCTATATTTCTGAGCACGGTTGCCGAGTGAATGCAACGCATATTTAAGTGACGTTATGTTTGTAGTGTGCTCGCTTTTCTTATCAGATAAGGTTTCAGACTAATTTGCTTTTATTGCTATCGACTCATTGAAGACTGATACCGTTCAGTTCCAACCCATGCCGAATGTCCGAATGTCTGTGTGTTGGCTAGTCAATGATTTTCCTGCCTAGTTGACGATGATATCGATATGCCTGGCTATGGCATGTAACATGCACATGGTGTAGCACGTGCGACATGCGCAGTCTATCCTTGATGCCTATGTTGAGTGTTATTTATCTGAACTTTGCCGCCATTCGATAATACAGGGTGTAGCCAAGCTCTCTGTGTTTCATTGGATGCATGGTCAGGCTGTGACTCACTGAATGCTCTGATCCGTCTCGTCGTAGCTCGCGACCATTCCGTCGTACACAGCAGCAGTGTAATGCCAACTCTGCTGAGTTTGCAGCACGGGGACCCGGCACCAGTAGCTCGCCACTCAGCACGTGCCGCAGCAGTGACTCACAACTCACAACTCACGCCGAGTTGAGCCAACAGCTGACGCACGCATGTGAGCTGATGTCGCCTCTGCTGAGCTGCGCTTGACGGCATGCTCGGAGGAATGTCACACAGACAGCGGATCACGTCTCCAGTCTCCAAATGAATGTTCCGACTCTGTTGAACCCTGTAGCTGAGTGTTGCAACAGTTACTTCTTCGCATGCCCGTCTCACGCAGCTGAGTTCGTAGCTGCTCAGTCTAGCTCTACCAGTCCGTGAAAGACAGGTGAGACCAGCATGTGTGCTCTTCAGTCTGCTCGTATGTCATTAACTCATCTGTACAGAGAGGAGCTGAGCGCCTAGCCGGTGCGGCTCAGTTCAGCCTATCGGCAATCGAGTTAGAAATATGTCGTGAAAAAAGGGAGTGGGATAGCTCGTTAACTGAGCTACCAATGTATGTATTCAATTTTCTTTTATCTGTATGTGATCTTTCATCACTGTCCCAGTGCTGCCCACTACGGTAATGGTTGTGTGTCCATTTCCAAGCGCCCCACCGGTAAATCGTTGCTGTGCACACCAGTAACCTCGGTGTCCGTCCCACAGACGACTACCCCAGTCGGAACGGTCACGTGGTGTCTGCTGGCGGTGGCTGGGGCTGTCCGCCCGCGCAGGAACACCAGCAGGCGGTATCGCCGCCCGAGCAGCGTCCCAACGCCATCACCACGGTGGCGTGGGTCAGCAGTGAGCCGGAGCCCGACCCGGACCCGGAGCCCGAGCCCGACGCGGAGCCGGAGCCGGCCGGGGAGCCGCCGCTCTGGGAGGAGCTGCACAGCGTCGACTCGGCGAGCGGCGAGCACAGACAGCACAGCGGCAGCACGGACAACTGCGCGTCCAGCGGCGACTCGCTGCAGGCGCAGGTCAGCTCTCCGACCGGCGAGCGGCGCCTGAGCGACTCCATCGACGGCCACAAGGTGCGCTTCGACGTCAGCGACGACGACTGGCAGCCGGGCGAGGGCGGCGAGCGGGGCGTGTCGCTGGAGGAGCTCGGCAGACGGCTGCCGCTCGCAGACGACACGTCGGACGCAGAGGGCGACACGGACCGGTCGGGAGCCACCACCACGCCGGTGGAGAACGAGAGGGCCGCCGAGGTGCGCGGAGATGAGGACGGTCTCGAGACGGCGGACTCGTTCATCACCATCAAGTGTAAGAACTCGATGTGCCTGCGCACGACCAACCTGACTGAGGCCAAGACGGTGTTTAAGATGTGCCACAACTGTGAGACATTTTACTGCTCGCGGGAGTGCCGGCGCGCGCACTGGGAGAGACACAAACGAGTGTGCGCCGCTATCCGCGCGCAAGCCATGTCCAAGCAGATCATTATGAAGATAAAGGAGGATGAGAATCTTCTGCTCGAGTTCTCGCGAACGGCACGCCAGGGTTATCTAACGCACGGCAGAGGCCTGCTCAAGGTGTTCTTTCCCAGCCCGGAGTCGGCTGACGACTTCCTCTCTAGGGAGAACGGCACTGCCTCTGAGGCGCTCTATATCAAGTGGCAGGACCTGCTGCCGCGTGAGATGGGCCACCTCGTCTACCGCGACATCATCGACCTGTGCAAGTCCTACAACCCGGAGACGCGCCTGGTGCTCTACATCGTGATCTGCGTGTTCAACGAGCTGCCGCTCAGTGGGGTGGCCAAGTGGGAGCGTCAGATCATCCCGCGCTGCGCCAAACTCAAGCTCAGCCCGCTCCTGGGAGGCCGCAGTCCGCAGCGGAAACCCTCGCCCAAGATCACCCGTGAGCTGGACGAGCTGGAGACGCTGATCCTGATCTCGTTGCCTCACTCGCTGCCCCACCTGGCCGCCGAGCGGGCGCGCGAGGTCAACTTTCTGAACATCGTGCGCCACCTGCGCAGTCGTGGCGTGAGTCTACGCAGAGATTACCCGGAGGTGTACAATCGACTGTGTGCCTACTCGGAGAAGAGCGTGCCCTTCTCGCCCACCACCATCTACCCCAAGGACACGAGCACGGGCAACACGTTCATGTGCCTCATCATGCCGGACGCCACGCCCGAGCAGTTGCTGAAGATTCCCAGGGACTGTGGTAAGGTGAAAACGATCAATATCAGTCAGGACCGGCCCGAGTGACGCGTAGACCAGTGCGCGGGGCTGTCCGCCTCTCAGTCAGACTGACTCGTCGTCGGGTGTCGCAAACCGTTATTGTTATTGTTGGTGATTTTTAATAATTTAGTACACACGTATGTCAGTGTGCTGGTGCTAGCGAACCGCCGGGCGCCACAGCCTTGTGTAACTGCGCGGCCGGCCGCTAGGGGCGCGGGTGACTGCCGAGTCTGATATTCACAGACAATCCCGGCTCGTGCCACAGTGTGAGCTCCTCTAACTTTGACCTCTGGCCGCTGCGCGTCGGTGGCAGCACAATCCGACGAGGCGCCGCCATCAGCGAGCCACCTAACCGACCTCTGTCGGCCTGTATCTTCCTCTTCTTGAGGTGCGTGCTGAGAGCGAGACTCCCGGAGATAGAGAGTGCGTCGACGAGCGTCAGCAAGAGAACAAGCGAGTTGAGCGAGAGTTAGCGAGCGAGAGCTTTAACAGTAATCGAGCGGGTGATAGGAGCGCGAGTGAAAGCTAAGCTGTTCCGATGTTTCAACCTAATATCCCAGTTTATAGTCTTTCATTTATTGTTTCTGGGTCCCGTTGCCATTGTCGGTCGTCCCTCCGGTCGGAGGTAGCTGCCGGGGCTCGGGACGTGTCGGCGGTTGGAGCTTGCCCGGCGGTGCCGCGGGCTCGCCGGGGTGGATCAGGGCGCGTTCTCTGCGCCCTGTGCGTGGGGCGCGCTCCGGACGGGGTGGCCCGCCGGCAGTCTAGTATCGGGCGGTGTGAGGTGGTGTTCTAGCTCATCGACAACAGTAAACGCATCGTTCTGAGACCGGCGCCTCTC